ACTGTTCTGACCACCTTACCAATTCTTAATCCTCACCTTGAATCATTCTCTTATGAATTTGACTGCTTGACAAAATCCCTAAATCATTCTATGTTTATTTTTCACCTTATAAACTATGCAATAGGCAGCAGCCACCTGTTTCAATTCCCATGATTTTTTTTTGTCTGTGATTATTTCTACCCCTATAATTGTTTGCCTAATTTTACCTCGTTAATTATCATGTTTATCTTGACGAATGATGGTTAACAAAATTATCACTGACAGATTGTTATAGAATGCATTCCATTAAAACACTGAAGAGGACCTAATTTCAGAGTAGATAAATCATCGCCCAGTTCATTGCTTTATAGAGGGAATCAGTTCAAACAAAAGACTGGAAAACGGGGATGAGTTCCCAAAGGATATAAGAGTGAAAATTGCTGGCACAGAAAGGTTTATTAGGAGGTATTTCAAAGAAAACAGTCAGAAAAGGATATGTAAGATATTCCCCAAGCAAGCCACTCAGACTTATGCTTCCAATAAGTCAGGAAAGACCAAATCCACAAGTCCTCATTAGCTGAAGAATACCTTGAATGACACTGGTTATAAAAGAACGAAAATAGCATACTTCATTAGTGGAATGATGTCAGGAAATTAAACATGCAAACATCACAACTTTTAGTTGAACTCATCAATAATTTATATGGACTATAAAGTGTAAAGCGAGTAATGGGAGAATACAGAGAACAGAATAAGTGATGGACATTGTTTGATTGTAAGGCTAAATAGAAAGTCAGGAAAATTATAATTCTCAGAAATAAAATCACCTCAGCAAGCTAAAACACTTACACTAGTGGCTCAACAGTCAACGTAACTGAAATCAAAATGCAGTTACTAATGGTGTTTCACAAGTAAACGTTTAGATACGCCAAATCTCAGATTCCCGAAATAATAACATTTTCTGATCTAGGAGTAGTTTTTGTGAATCTTAGTAATCAAAAAGAATATCCAAAGTTGAGAGAACTAACGCCATCTCACAGATTCGAAACTGTGTTAGCCAGTTCTGTAGTTATAAACATTAACAATGACCTTTTGATTGCTTCTTGTTTTGGGGGAAAGTAATCAACAAGATAGCCTGATCTTCAATTTTAAGTTGGCCTACTCAAATGGCTCAGTGTCAATATCTCTAACTGAACCACTAACTGACATTGCATGGAATTTTCGGAAGAATATCAATTCCCCTAAAGTTATGTGTAATCCTTCCTGAATAACACGATAAATCACAAGTCTAGTTCCACGCGTTTCTCTTGAGTAATTCGAATAAATAAATGGCAACCAGCAGTGCTTATCTCTGAGTAAAACAAATAATAAAACATTTTAAAGTGTTTGAAATATCTTGATTGTCGTAGAATTTAAGTATCTAAATAGTATAATTAGAACATGAAAATTTTCCGGGTGAACAAATGTTTCCAGTATCATCTTCTTCAGGCCCTATAGTTATAAGCCGACGAATAATAGAATAAAAATATACACCCACAGGGTTTTGAACTCAAGACCTTCTGGTTAAAAGGCAAGCTCGTAGACCATTCAGCTACTGGGACCTGATCCAGTGGCCAGTCCATGAATTCAAACTTCTACCAACTCGTGATTTTAGTGCGACCACTAGCCAATGTCATCGGCGAGTATTTGTCTTCAATTCCGACCGGGTGGACCCCTCTGGTCATAAATTCTTATTATAACTCCAGGCAATTTTGTCCTATAGCCAGTCAGAACAATTTTCAAGAGTTTTTCTTTATAGGGATTTGATTTGTTTCAAGTCTGATCACGGATTGACATTGGCTAGAGAACCATTCGAAATCCCTACGAACAAACAAACTCTTCAGAATACAAATAGCCAGTAAAGGCAAATGAAAATTATATCAGAAACTGTATTGAGGTACGTGTATGAGACGGAATAATAGTCTACTGGTAAACATTGTTAACTGAGTGTATGTAAAATGTACAGTCATTCAGAAAATAAGATAAAATGTGAATAGACAATTAAGTAACATAGTGATGCATTTATAATCAACAAAATCTGAGTTTAATGGGGGTGGTGAGTTATGTTGAGTGATGTGAGAGAAATATGAATACCACAAAAATATACATATAAAAACGGGCTACTCTGGATGTTAGTTCGAGATCTGAAAGATAACAAATATAATTATAAAATAAAGTGGTCAAATAATGAACTGTAATCATATAATAGGGACAAGATATGTCTGGTGTAAATCCAAAAGTTGACAAATAATACTAGTGTGAAGTAAAACAGGTGAAAAGGAATAAGAAGGGCATAATAAGGCATGAGAATATGACATGATTGCATCCCTAATAACCTTATTGTAGGCCAAGGTAAACAAAAATGACGAATGTGCATGTTTTGCATACATATGTCAAGTTTATTCTTATTGATGCATATAGCTTCAGCTAGCACACATAATCGTATACCTTTAGACAGATTGCTTGGTACTCGATTCACAACCGTGAATAACTCAACTATTGTGATGTACTGTTCACTATCCAATATATGAGATAAAATAGCACTATTTATTGATTTCGTTACTGCTTTTCAAAACCACATTTTAACATAATTGATATAAGTATAAAACGTATGCACTGTGGTAGAGTATAACTCCAAAAATACATAAACCCAATAATCCTCTACGTCCTATATTGTCAATGTACAAATCCCCAAAGCATAAACTTGCTAAATGGTTAGTAGAATTATTGCATCCAGTCAAAACACACTTCTGTAAGTATGTGTTAAAAGATACATTTGAATTGGTCAATTTTCTTGACGATATTAATATTATGAATAAGAATATGTACTCTTTTGATGCAAACTCGTTATTCACTAATGTCCCTTTGCTCAAAACAGTTGACATTTCCACAAACAATTTTTTCATCCCGTTCTCTATATCTTATTTAAGGGATTTATTACTTCTATGTACTAACAATGTTAGGTTTACATTTGAAGGTGATTGTTTCCGCCAAGTTGATGGCGTTGCTATGGGAAGTCCGTTAGGGCCCCTTTTAGCAGATATCTATATGTCGTACATTGAGAATTTATCGGAGGATTTAATCGAAAATGTGCCACTTTATAGAAGGTATGTAGATGATATTGTAATCATCAGTGATAAGTCTTGTTCTGCCACCTCAATTTTAAATCGAATGAATGAAGTTCAGAATAGCATATCACTTACATCTGTAGAAGAGGAAGATAATTGTTTATCTTTCCTAGACATATTGCTTAGTCGATGGCTTGATGGGTCAATAAAAAGATCTATTTATAGAAAACCTACCTCGACAGGACAGTATCTTAATTAACACAGTTTCTGCCCTGTTCGGTACAAAAGAGCCTTAGTGAGCTAAGTGCCTCTTCAGTAGAATCCAACGAATATGCACTGAAGACACACTTGATGAAGAAGAAGAAAGAAAGTTGACACAAACTCTGGTTGATAACAATTATCCAGACAAGTTCATCAGGAGATATAAAGTAGTCAGAACACCAAGACCCACTCTCCAACTCGCCCCTAAGAAAGACGTGTACATCAAGCTACCCTATAAGGGGCATCATAGCAGCTTGATAACTAGACAAAGACTGAACGCTGCTGTTAAAAAGACTTTTTATGCAGCTAATATCATAATAATTGAGAATGTGAAGCCAATATATCTAAGCCCTTCGACATGTGAAAAATGACGTCACATCCCACTGTATTTACCAATTTGAATGTACGTGTGGACACACATACATAGGGAGGACTCATCGATCTCTGCAAGTAAGGGCTTCAGAGCATATTCCTAAATGGCTTCAGAAGCAAACAGAATCCCCAGAACCCATTAGTGGTGAGATTAGACGACCTAGCTCCTCTATTGCAAAATATATTATACAGACAGGCAATAAAATTGATTTTTACGCGTCGTTTAAAGCTATTTATAAGACGTGTTTGGGGCGTATTCTAAAGTTTGTGGAAGCCCTAGCTGGCAATTAGGAAGTTTATGCGTTCAAAAACAATTCGTCATCACATTAAACCTTCCTTGGTAAATTTTGTTTTGATACCATAGCAGATGTACTATTACCTCTGTTATTTGGTTTAGTGGTCTTCATTGTTATTTTGACCTTGAATATGTCCTTTCAACTTGACCTAAGTCTATTTTCTCACCTCTTACCTCTTTATTAATTTCATATATATTCCTATGACAAGTCCGTGTGTGATCAGATTGTTCGAAATGTGTTGCGCAAATACATTACACGATTCAGACAAATTACGTCTTCTTATTGCTTTATCTAAATTCATAAAGGGAACTCATTGTTTTAAACTGTGTGATTTATCAAAAAAATCTTATCTATAATGGAGTCACATTTAAACAGGTTCACGAGCGCGTAAAAGTAAATTCTTCTGATCACCGAAAATACCCATTGAGTCATAAAGGAAATAAAAGACATATTCAGCGAAGAAAATTTTCTTTATCGACGAAATCATCTTCAGAGGCTGTACAGTCGTATTTATATGTACAAAAGGAACATATGAGTGATAGTAGTAAATTAATTATTAAAGTAAAAGCAAACTAAAATTAAAATTGAAAAAAAGAAAAAACTTTTTTTACAGGGAACGACTGAATTTGTCTTTCATTTTCTTCAAATTCTTCTGACTTTGGCCTATATAATAAGCTCCACAGGAGCAGTTAAATCTCTGTACACTTACTGACGTGGCCAACGTTGTAAAATTTCATGTTACCATTAAAAATCAGCATCTATTCATATAAGTAACTAAGATCAGACCATAAATACGCTCGGCTTGTGATCCCTATCAGTAATTCACTCACAATTGAACCCATATACTAGAAATGGGACTGTAGTCATTCTACCTATCTATGATATAATATGAATTTTGATTTATTCACCACTATGGATTAACTCTGATTAGCCATAAACTGATAAAACATATAGCTAGACCGACAACAGATATACAAATGCTTACCGATTACATGACGGACATTCATTGTTAGAGTGGTAAATCCTGTCACATTCACAATATTTGTATTATCCTCCTATAAAGAATAGTGTAGGTGAGCAGTCAAACAAACAGACTCATATATATGTGTATATATGATACGTGCGAAAGAGTGACTGACAGCTCTCTTCTGGATAACAAAAAATCTATTTATATACTAAAATGTCCACACAGCATGATGACCTTCTGAACTTCGTTTGATTTGTGTAATGTCATATCGCTTATGTCATAATATGACATACATATATGCATATATATTTATGTATATATAATTTTTTCAGTTAGAGTGGTTTAAAATTTTAGGGTTTACTGGAAGTTAAGGTAATGTGAACACACATGTATGTATAATTTGATAATAATAATAATTTGCTTTATTCCAGAAACAGTACTAGTGGTACAGTATGGAATTTTCAGCACAGAAAAGCTTCCACATGTTTCCTGGAGTTTTACATGACAAAATTCTTTGATTATAAATATTGTTTAGTTTTATATATCCTAAGACCAGATTTATCCTTGGTCTTGTACAGTCTCTCTTTTTCTCTTCTAAGCTTTTTGGGATGATAGGAAGAGAAACAGTCCATTCTTTTGAAGAGTATCTGTTTTGGACAGCATACATCAAGGCAGAATTCAAGATAGTCAGTCAGATTGGAAAAAGTATCATCCAGTGTGTGTTCAGTGAAAAGATCCGAGTTTGTGTCATTTAACATACGTCTTAGTTTGAGCATATTTTCTTGTGAGTAACATCTTTGTTGTGTTTTTCTGGACAGATTTGAGAGGATATTAGAGTGAGATCTGCTATATATCTTAGGTAATATCTGAATAATACAATGACCAGAGTTCATTATAGGAGCACGTCTGCGTGCTTCGTATATTTCCGCATCATTAATAAATACTGGATCCAGTGTTTTATCAAGTCGAGTTGGAAATTTAACAATACTGACATGACCTAATGATTCAAGAAAAGAACAGTCGCAGGTATTGAAATCTCCTGTGACAAATGATAAAGAGTTTTCGAGATGTGTAACAGAGAATGCTGTGAATTCATCGGCAAAATCAGATAGATCCGAGGCGGAATAGCCAGGAGTAACATAAATGTTTGAGATGAGGTCGTATTTAAATTTGGATAAGTGTTTCGGACAACATTTGACTGTTATACAATCAATAAAGTCACTAGAGAAAGAAAAACATACATTATTTGAAGTTGACCACTGAGAATGAATGAAAGTTGCAACACCTCCACCTCTTTTCTTTCTGGAGCATAGTCGATCTTCATTATGGATAAGATTTTATTTTGATAAATCACACAGTGTTACATTGTAACAGTAATATTACTGTGTATCACTGTGTGATTTATCAAAATAAAATCTTATCCATAATTGAGTTACACTTTACTACAGTGCCCAAGTTTTATACTTATACCATAGTCGATCTTGTCTAAACAATGTAAAACCATCTATAGAAACCAGGTTGTCGTCATAAAGATCATGGAGCCGTGTTTCTTGTAATGCAACTATCGCCGTATTGTGATAAGTATCAGATGATAAGAGACACTGGAGATGCATAATTTTGTTGGGAAGTGAACGGCAGTTTGAACTGACAATAACAGGAATAGTTGTGCGATATAAAGGTGTCCGTTTGAGAGCACGTTGCCAACCACCATGATGTTTTCTCTTAGTCTTATTAGATACATGAAAGTTATATAGTTTAAAACATTTAATGAATTCATTACTGTATTTGATACGATTTGTGATCATATTTTGTTAAAATTAAAAATTAAAACATGATGTTTTAGATGCAAATATGTAGATGTACGGAAAGGTAGCCCAGGTGTCAAACAGGCCGCCTCTGTCTATATAAAGTATCGATAAACTGTCAATTTCGAATCCAGTTACTGAGTGATTATGTGCTCAATTTGTTAGTTGGAGGTTTTAAGTTTACTTCTTAGTGGGAGCATTTGTTCACACTGTTAAGGAAGCACAGACCAGAAAGAAACAAATGATCCCCTATTTCATAATGGTTCGTGACAAAATCTACTTGTGAATTATACAAATCGCCTGAATTTGATGATCTTTCGACAAACAACTTTGGAAACACATCAGAAAATCACACACTTAAAATATATTCACCAAAATGTCGAGTGTCTAACCTTTTATCTGTTTTTCACTAATTGTATTTTTAATAAAAAAACAGTGACCTTTAGAAATTTCGAATAAGATGGATGTCGATCTATGACATCCAAAAGAGTAAATCAAGGATAAATTACATCTAGGTGACTTGAACCAGTTAGAATACTACTTTCATACAACAAATTACAGTAATTTAAAACAAGCAATAATGGTTAATAAAGCAGGATTTAATGAATTCATCAAATTTCGGTAGAACTCGTCAGCTGAATACTCTACATACATGGATGTATATACTTTTGAAATTACATTGGGAGATATAGGACTGATAAGTAAACAAACTACATTGAATTAGTCATGCAGATAGACAGGTTCGAATATTTTTCCAGGTCATGTGCAATTAGATTAGGGGAGAGAGAGTATGAGAGATCAAAATTAAGATAAATTGCATTACGCTTCAATTACACCCCTTAGATAAACAATTAGACATTAGAGAATATAACAAGAATTGCAAACAGAGTAATAGCTTTTGACAGGTTATCAGTCATCCTGAACATTCACTGGATGAGACGGTGTAGTACATAGTCATTAAGTGCTTGCATTACACTAGACAAACTTTCACATCCATATGAGTGCGGTAAATAAAAATCAATATTTGCCCCCGCCCCCAAAACAAATTGAATATTGACATCATTTTATTGTGAAGTCGAAATTATTTCTTGGTACTAACAGTACAAAGACACAAATCAAAGTGAATGTAAAAAATTAGCGATTCATCATGAAATCAAATTACGAGGTATAGAATTAGGTCTCTTTATTTAGCTGTCATCGCTCTTCCAGATAATTAAAAACTGGGATGAGGAGAATTATAAGTAAATTAATAGTGATATAACTTTAACATAAACTGAACTTTTCCCTGTCTCTTCGCAGTTTTCAACAAGTAGTCATATGGTGAAAGACTGTCAGAAGTTATTTTACGATAGTTAAGTTTTACAGAATATGTTTTGTGTTAAATTATAAAGTTTCGACAACTACTTAGAAATAAAGCCGGTTTATATTATTCACTCTAGTTCTACGTGTAGTAAGCAGATTAATGGTAAGGTTTCTAACATCAAAACGAACTAATACAGGTATGAACACACAGAGAAATAACATGAAGTAAGTAATGAAGTTTATAAGTCAACATGATGCAGAACTTTGTTTAAGATACTAGAGCTTTTTCAAGGGTAAACACACACTACTGACCTTCAGTTCACGTACTTTTATTTATTCTGCGTATACCTTTAAAGTCAATAATAAAAAAAGTAAAGCCAGTTTAAAAAACTTACATGCTGTTAATATTTTTCTAATGGAAAACTATGATTTGTGTATACTAAATTTCTGGACATGATATTAATAGCAACTGAACAAGATGAATTACTTGACAGCATGTCGTTGGATTACGACAGTTGTACCATATGTGACTACTTTTCAAGAAGTATGAAGTAGTAAACATAATTTGTTTTTCACTTTCAGTCTGCTTGCTATTCGTGTGAAACACATTGAAAATTATAACTTTTCATTTTATGCTACAGTTTGAATAGACTAAAGCCAAATTATACTTTTTAAATACAGATGTCATACTGACACATTTCTATCCTCTGTAACTGTAGAACATCGCACCAGTATTATTTTGTAAATCCTCTCTGAGAGGAGACTAAAAGATATTCAATAGACAATGAGGGTAATGAACATTTTGTACACATTGGATTTCATTTGAATTTTTACTTTTAGGATCGATCATCAGCTGACATCAGTTAGAGAGCCATTGGTAAACCAGCGGGGAGTACTGAAGATTTGTTTCGTCCTAGTTTTGAATTCTTCATCAGTGTGTATCCATTGTGGTTCGAACCCACGACCTCATGGCTACAAGGCGAGCTAATAGACTATTCAAGTATTGGGAGTCGGACCAGTAGCCAATTCATGATATATATTTAGCGAAACCGCCAGCCAACTTCACAGGTGAGTAACTGTCCTCTAGCTTGACTTAAGGAGTGGGAAGTCATAACCATTTAGGGTGGCCGGCTTAAATCACTGCGCTACCAGAATTTCCATCCATCAAAATGGTCAAACTTTTTTGCACTTCTCGTTGTTTTAATTTTGCAATTATATCAAATGACCAATACGTGAACTCGCGCGTATGTTTTAATTAATTTCCCACTATATGCTATGCAATTTTCGAAGGAATTGAAAAAAAAATGTACAGAATTGGTGTTCTTCTCATATGTAGCAACACTACGACAAGTGTTGTACTTCAGATGGAGAGGAAATATTTTGGAACTAAATACGCTGAAAATGTCTGTAATATATGTCCACATATTGTCCGAAATGAAGCTTTACTATTATTATTTGCATATATATATTGTGGCCTACTTGAATCAGTGGGCTACCTAACATAATGCACCATATATCTTCTGATTCTTATTGTCCTAACCATTCATTTACCTCCTTGAGTAGCAAAAAGTACTCATGCACACTTTCAGCTGGCCTTCAAAACACCGGTGCGCACTTCGAGGAGACGTGGAAAACTATCATAAGGGATTAATCTGTGCTTCAGGTTATTACTCGAAGTCCCTGGATGAGGAGAAAATATTATGCAACAAATTACTCTGAGAACTCTGTTTAGAACAAAGCTGATATATATAGCTAATTTTAGCCAAAATAAATATATTACTATTATTATGAATTCAGTAGGTCAAAATTCAGAGTTGATTTTAATGCCCCTTGTGTATACAATCGTTACTGATGTCTGTTATCGGTAAATTTAGACGAAAAGGAAAGATAGTAGATGATTCAGAAATACAAATAACTTTTTCTTTCTTTTGTT